GCTCCTCTTCTTTTGCTTTGTGAATTTTCACTGTGGCTTGCCAGAAACAATCCTACATCTTAAAGCTCTCCTAAAGGTTGATGTTTATCTATGGTCAATGAAAATATCTTAAACAGAAGAACTAGCTGATAACAATTTGCATCTACAGCTATTGATAAAAAAAAGCTCTTTTATGCAAAAAGACATAAACATCATCCCAAAATTCCTGGGCAGGAGAAAACATAGTTTGTTCTTCCATTTGACAGTAGAGTCTTTTCACCTTCTACTGATAACCTTTAATCTGATAGGGAAGATGTCAATAAATTTTGATAAATATTTTAAGAATTAAAGCATTGTTTTGATGTGTAATGCACATAAGATCTTAATGGTTTATGGTTACGTAGTTTAATTGGCTCAATTGCTGGGCAGGAGGGGAAGAAAAAGTTACCTGCAGTTTGCCTGACCCTTTTCTATCAGATTGAAGTATTATTATGTGCTGTACTATATTAAGCATCATCTGGAAAAAAAGCACAATCTGTTCTTTTTAAGCTTCTTAATAGTTTCTAGTACTGATTCATGGGAAGTGGAACCAACAGATTGTTATAGTTAGACTGTAGGTGGGGCCACATATGCTTGAGTTTGGAACAAAATTCCAACTCTGCAGCAGGAATAAGTCTTTTGCACAATGATGTAATTGATTTTTAAAAAAACATGAAGAGGCATATGGGAGCAGCTTTTGACTGGGCTTAGGGCCAGGTGTTCAGGTAGGCAACATGCAGGATCCAGGCCAGTATTTTAAAAGAATTCAGCTACCACTTGTTGCCAAGAGGACACATTTACAAAAGCCATCTACTGCTAATAGTTCTGATTGCAGCACCACACACAAAGTTTCTAGAGGACACGAGCATCAACTAAAAAACTGTGATATGACCTCCAGCAGAACCAGTAGCAGTATAAACGTCCCAGTTTCCAAATACTGAAATGGAGATGGAATTTGGTGGGGCAGGAGGAGCTGAACTTAAATTGACTATACTTGAGCTGCTCCTGCTTGTGTTGTTTGTGGAGTTTTTTTTGATGAACTGAAATTAAGCAAGCAAGAGTAAATCAATCCCTCCCTTCTGTTGAACATTTCTTTCAGCATTTCCTTGAAATTTAGAAGTGGAAACAAGATAGATATATGGATAAATTCCCAGGATGTAGGTAACTTTCATCATATGGGACTCATCAAAGAATGTTAGCTTGTTTCCAGCTAAGGAGCTCTGAATTAATTTTCATTTGGAAGTGAAACTACAAACTGCATAAGACATCACCATTGTCCATCCATTCATGTAAATCCTGAAGCCCCTATATCCTTCTTGTGTCATAGACTTGGCTGAAGAGTGGGAACTGTCCCGTTGGTGGAAACTTGCCCTTGCTGTGGCAGTTTTGGTAGTACTGTTATAGGTACTCACATCTGTGAGGAGGCCAGTTCCATACAGAAAGCATGGAGATCCTCTTCCACTGTGAACCTTACATCTCATCCTCAAGGAAATGACAGAATGTACCTTACCTGCTTTCCCTCATTTCTTTAATGCTACATGTATATATTTATGCATATATATGTTTTATTCAGAAAGAAAGAGAGCCCAGATGAATTTTTTGCTAATATATGGTGCAAAAAAAATTTAACAGAAAATATTTTCTTTTTCCATCAAGGAGTGTTCATTATCCCCACAGTATAGCTCATACAAGATATACATACCTCATCAAAACACTCGCACAACAGGAGAATTCACTATGAATAATTAATTGCATAGAGTTTAATCAGCAAGGCAAGAGCACCACTGGTGTATTTATATGAGTGTCTTGAAGCAAAGCTGCTTTCTGTTTTTATCAAATCTCCCTTGAGCTCATGTCATAGAGCTGTAGTTTTCTCAGCTGGAGACCTGAGTGACTCTCAGATTTGGACTGCTAGGATGTATTTTCTTCCAAATGTTAAGAACATAACATTTTCCTAAGTACCTCTGGCAGTTTAACACGTTTCCTATGATTTTGGATGACACATAACTTTTTGTATGGTTTCATAAAATCTCCCTGTCTCAATGCTTGATGAAACCATGATGTTTGTGCTTGAGCAGATTTTATTGGATTGGAAAGGAGTTAATGCACTTTGTGCTCTCTAAAAGATCTGCTATTTTTCAGTACGGTAATTAAACCTATTCTCGAGTTTATACCAGGCCTGAGGATAACAGTTTGAATGCTCATAACACTTTAAAATAAATACTGCAGTATTTGCAACATAGAAGATATGCAGTTCTGTAAGTAAACTAGACCTGTCTGGGAATTTTCCACTGAGAGTTTTTTGACAGAGAACGAGATCTTCAGAATTTCAATGTCTTTCGGTGTCATGTTTTAACTCCAGCCAGAAACGAAGCACCAGACAGCCACTCACTCACTCCCTTACCAGCAAAATTGGGCAGAGAATCAGAAAGGTAAAAGCTAAAGAACACATGGTTTAAGAAAAAGACAGTTTAATAGGTAAAGAAAAGCTGTGCACACAAGCAAAGCAAACAAGGAATTAAATCATTGCTTCCCATGAGGTGTTCAGCTGTCTCTAGGAGACCACGACCCCACCTGGTGTAAAGGTGATTTGAGGCAACAAACAGAATCATTCCAAACATCCCTCTCTTTCTCCTTCTTCCCTGAACTTTATGTACTGAGCATGCTGTCATATGGTCTGGAGTATCCCTTTCTCAGATGGGGTCACCTGTCCCAGCTGTGTTCCTCCCAGCTTCCCACGAACCCCCAACTTCTTCACCAGCATAAGAGCACAAGTAGAAAAGGCCTTGTCTCTGTGTAAGCCCTGCTCAGCAAAAAAACATTTTTATGTTATCAACCCTGTGTTCAGCACAAATCCAAAACATAGCACTGTACTAACTACTGTGAAGAAAATTAACTCTACCGTAGCCAAATCCAGCACATTTAGATGCATAATTTTTCCTCAAACTTACATCTTCTATGGCGAAGATTGGCAATGTTATCTTGTTCTTTCCATTTTCTGATAGAAAAAGTGAAATAAAACATTTAATGCTGATCCAGAATGACCTAAATGAAAACAATTTTAGAAAAGTAATTTATTTCCTGTCAGATGGCCTAATTTTATTTTTGAAGGCCTTTGGGTCTGCTGGGAGTTAAATATGATTGATCCCAATTTTTCCTTCAAGCTGACTTTGGCAGCTATAATACTTATTTCATAAGATACCATAGTTTTGACCTCTAGATGAACTGTTTCCGAATCCCATGGGAATCACTTGATGCTCATGTACCACAGGAAACAGTTTGCCCTAAAGGCATGACACAGGGGTAAGCACTGGACTCCTGATTTACTACTCTCAGGAAGCACTGCAACAAGTGAGTTTAAATGACACTTTGTCCGGGCATAGTTTGCATGGTAGTGTGGCTTCCATTAGGCCTAATCTCAGCAAGGAAGAAAATGAAAGTCCCTTCAGGTAAAGAGACCTGCATTCAGGTTGCCATTCTGGTTGGGTGCTATTTGGAAATTTAGTAGTCTCAAGGTCACAGTGATTCATTCCTGGTGTGAAAGGAAGATAATGTTACTTCCTGTCTTCTTGTTCTTTGGATCTTTTGACTATTTGGATGGTAAGATCCTACAACTGGGCACTATTTTTACATTCATATTCAGTGGTGAGTGTGACAAAGACTCTCACCCGTAGCACCAGAGTAACAGGGTTGACTCCCCAGGCGGGCAAGATGAATTCTTGATGGCTCCAATGTCCAAAGTGAAAAAAAACCCAGATGACAGTCCAAATCCATGTCTGATCCTCACTGCTTTGCATACATTTTAACTGACAGTGCTCCTGTATACTTGTATTTCTGCTGGTAAGAGAGAGAATTCTTCTTACAGATTCTTCCATTTTCAAGCTAAAAAATTTGTAAAGGATCAGTGGTTTCTTGCAACATCATCACTTGACACTCACAGTTTTATTAATTAATTAACTGAGTGTATTTCTGTGGAATATTACTGAGGGTTTAAGATATTACTTTTGAGAAAGATTTCCTGCCTCAGAGGCCTTCTTGTATAAACGAGACATGAAACAGATTTCAACAGGCAGATGGAGGAGCTCAGGGAAGCAGACACACAATCCTGGTCAGGATGACTGTCAGTGGTATCAGTACACCCACTATTTAAGCACTGTGACTTTTATGTAGGCCTGTCAGAGAAGAAAGTTTCTGTGCTGAGACAGAACAAAGGAAAAAGCGTATCTGTCTCTTAATATCTCTTACCAGTTTATCCCCATAGAGAAACAAGATATTGAAAGAAAATATGAGGTCTTTCCCAATGATAGAAATTTAATTGAGAACAAACAAACAGGAAAAAATCCCAGAAAAATACTAAAGCACATTGAGTTTATCTGTGCTCTAATGATCCCTGTAATGCTAATCCTCAATTTTTTTATTCATTCTCTAGTAAATTTTTTTATGTCAACAAAATAAATTTTACTTTTCACTCTAACTAAAAAAAATAGTATTGCTTTTCAGATTGTGTTATGAATTAGGTGTTGTTATGAGGTTTTTTTGCATATATTTACATATTACATCTAAAAATTAATTCTCAGCATATATTTTTTTTTAATTTACTAAAGTAAATCACAGAGCATTTGGCCACATTTAGTCAGTTTAAGAGAATTAGAAGAGAGTGCCATTTGTATATACACTGTTGTACATTGTGGACTAGATCCTCACAACTAGTGACGTACACAACAGCCTTTGTTGTGCACCTCACTACCTGCGAGTAGTGCTTAAGCAGAGATAAAGTCTCTTGGAGTAGTGAATTTTCCAGGAAAATTGGTTAACCTTGCCTTGAATAACTGATTAATTAAAAGATTAAAGTGATATTGTTATGATTGGTATAGTGATCTCTCTGCAGATAACGTAACACACTTAAACTATCTGATGTTTCCTAAGGAAGAAAAGCTGCTGGAGATTTTAATATATGTATTTGTGTTTCTGTTTGTATTTAGGAAACTATGGTGAAAGTGGGATGGAAGCTTTCAAAGATATGGCAGCCAAGGAAGGGATCTGCATTGCACACTCCTACAAGATCTACAGCAATGCTGGCGAGCAGAGCTTTGACAAGCTGCTGCGAAAGCTTCGGAGCCACCTGCCCAAGGCTAGAGTGGTTGCCTGCTTCTGTGAAGGCATGACTGTGAGAGGTCTCTTGATGGCCATGAGGCGCCTGGGACTCGCTGGAGAGTTTTTGCTGCTAGGCAGGTGAGTAATACTGTGGAGTTATAGGCCACTGTTTTAGTCAGCTGGGCAAAAAAAACTGTCCTGTTTTCTGGACAAGAAGCACATGCAGCACAGACTCATGATCCCTCCTATACCTGTGCATATCCAAAAGATAGGAAGTAATGTTTGTCATAGCAGTGCAACCTCTACAAAGACATGCATCATTCTCATGACATGCCAGGCAAACATAAGTCTGCTTGGCCACTCCTAGCAACAATGAGTAAAGGAAAGCTGGCTAAGAAAACAGTCTTTGAGCTATATCACTCGTTTTGTTCACTGCAGTTTAAAATGCATTGTGTACATATAGAGCCCGAAGCTGTATCTCATCCCAGTAACTCTGTGTTAAGGATTTCCAATGTGGCCTCTGGGTGTACCTGAAACAGAACTTCCCAAAACAACATTTGTTAATCTTTTCTTCCTAAGCATCTGTGTGCTGCTGCGCATACTGTCCTAAGGGCAATATATAGGTAATCCTTTCTCTTAGCTCAATGATATCAGTGTTTCCTTTCCTAGCTGCCAAAGGAAGGAAGGGAAAGTCACTTAGAGTGTGTTCATCCAGAAGGAAAAGATCCTGGGCTTGTAAGCAGAGAAGTAAATTACTGATGTGAACCTAAAGGGTTTTACATTTTCCCCTTATTCAACAAGTGGATCCTAAACAAGACAGGAAAAATGATGTATTGAAAACAAAATGGAGGATACTGGGAGTCAACTAATGTAACTCACTGCATTTTCAGTGCACTATTAGAAGGATGACCTGTTGTTATCCCAAGCATGAACCCTACACGAATATAAGTAAAATGGTGTTAATGAAACCAGAAGTCATGATGAGACCTCCAGGGAAACTTTCAAGGACTGTCTTGGCAGCTGGGACACTGAGTCTGTCCAACTGGTAGGACAACCAGCCTCTGTTCCCAGTCTGCCTTGTACACAGCTGCCCTTCCCCCTTGGGCAAAGGGGAAAACAAACAGGCAACAACTCTGGCTCTTGTCTCTGCCCTTACTCTTTGACATCAGCCTACATTTTGGCATTTTCAGATGGGAATTTTTTAGTTCTTTCTCTGATACGTGACAACTGTCTCCATCCTTCTTTTAAAATACATTTTATCTATACAGACTTCCATAGACTGTCTTGGTCCTTTCCTGGACAGACACCCAAAGGGACCACAGTCCTCAAGGTGAAATTCACATGAACATTTATAGCTGTCTATAATTTTGATACTTCCATGTAGCCATCAGTATTTGCTCTACAGTTAATTGAGCAAAATAGGACCTTCTTAGGTCCCTTGTTTGTAATGTGAATATTCCAAGTAGCTCAAATAAATCCTATTTTAGAAAAAGGTTTGTACAAAGACTCTCTCGATAACTACATCTGGTGGAAAAGTCTATTTGTCAGCTGTTTAGAGCAGATTAGAGAAAATGCCATATCCACTATCTCCAGCTGAATCTGGTGCAATAGGATGTTTGCTGTCTTCTTCTGTCCTAAATACAAGAAATTGTCAACTAGCTGCAGCAGTACCCAAATTTAGAAGCACATAAGCATTGTTTTCAAAAAAATTGTTGGCCCTTAGGTTCGCCAGACTCCAAATTGTACATAATTTTTTTAATGGGATTTATGTACAACAGTGCTAAATTTTGACCTCTGAGATGCTCTTATGAATAAGAACTTCAGGAACTGCTGACTGGGAATAAGAGTAGATCAATTCAGATTATCTCTTTAAAAAAAAGCAAGGTCTAAAGAGAACAGGGTTTGAGGCTTTACTTCAAGTTTTTGTTTGTTTTGTTTGTTTTGTCTTGTTTCTTTGTGAAAAGATACCTGTTTTTAGCTGCAGTGGGAATCATCATGAGTAATTATAAGAAAGTTATTTGGTATATGACTTCCATTGAGTAAATTGAAAGTGATAGCTTCTCTTAGAAGCCGAGACTGTAAAGTCTTTCCAGTTGAAACAAAAATCCTTAATTCTACCTGACCATTTGGAGTATATCCATGCCTGTGGCAGTACTACACAATTTAATTGTGAAAAATGCAGCATGAACTGGAAGTATTTACGGAAAAAGAAAAACAAAAGTGTAGGGATTTTTTTCTATCCTATATTTTATTTCCAGAGATTCCAAGGTAATGGCTGAGAAGTGGATATTCAGACTTAATATTTCCCTAGCCAGTGACTGCTGCATCAGACAAGGATGGCTGGAAGATATAGTAGAGAGATACAGTCTCTCTACATGTGCTTCTGCACTTCAGAGATCCCAAGGATCTTGGAGCATCCGGTATTTTTCAATAGATTTGTTTCCAATTTGATATCAAAATCAGCTATAAGCCAGGGAAAAATAAACCAAAAGAATAAACAAAGAAAAACTAATTTTACCAGCTGAGGACTTTTGTTAGACTTTGAGCTGCCCTTAGTCTGTAGAGCACTGTTTCATGTTTCTGCCATGCAGCAAGAATCATGTGTAGGGTGTATGAAGTTGTAGTGTAACAATGTTCCACAAAAATATTAATTATTACGAAAATGTTCTCCTTCCTCTATAGGCTATAATCTCTAGGTTTTGAGGCTGAGGTTAAAAAAACAACAGAAAAAACAGAGAACTTGAAAGAACTCCTTGACATAGATGGGGCATAAAACAATTATATCATTGCCCAGTGATAATCGAGGTCCCTGTAGGGATTTAGATGTCTGTTTTCCAGGACCTTGATGTACTGTGTGCTTTTTTGTTTTTTGACTATTTAGCTCTGTTGTCTGTGAATATTTACCTGTTAGTCAGAAGCTAGGGTTGTTGGTGGGTGACAGCAGCACAAACCCAGATCTCATACAAGCAGATTATACTGGGGACCTTTCTATACATCATTTGTAAGGGGAAAAGACAGTAGGCAAGATTTTGAGAACAGATGGTTCAGAGTGCTCTAAGGGGAAAGAGCTACATCTTAAATTAAAGAAGGCTCATGAAATTATTTTTTCTTGTAATTCTATGCAGGAAAATGGACTAGGATAAAATTTATACTTTCATTCCTCATCTGATCCTGGAGTTGCTCTGGGCTACCCATTCAACTGAGAAGGTTCTAAAAGGGCATTCCAAGTGTAGTGAGAGTGCCTTTCACTGGAATGCAATGGGCTTACAAGAAAAACTACATCTACTAATGAATACTATTTTGTTCCCCCAAAAATTCTTCCCTGTTGTTTTGTTAAGTGGAAAATAATTTTGTTTCTTTTCCAAATGCACAAAAAGAACTAAAGTCACAAAGCCACACAGTAGCTTTATGGGAAACCATAAATTAATCAATATTTCCACTTCCTCTTTTCTTTCTGTTATGTTCCATTTTTAATTTGGATTCACCCCTAATATTTTCAATCCAAAGCCTTGCAAAAATACTGGGATATTTTGAAGCTATGGATTTCTCACAGCATCTGTTTTATGCTCAGATAAACAGAAAATGAATTGGCCAAGAGGAATGCATGTCACATAAATTCCCTTTACAGCCCCAAGGGGAGGAAAAAGATACCTTTCAATAAACTCTCCACTCTTGACCTACTATGCAGTTTCTGAAATTGCATTGCCTGCTTGTGACAGATATGCAAAGTGGCATGTAATTAGTGATTGTAACATTCCAGAGCTTTTTGATTCATGGAAAACATTTTAAGTGCTTGGCAAATATTTACCTCATGCATCTTGAAGAATTGGACTTAACCTCAAATGCAAAGGTGAGTGTGCTGACTTTAAAATGTGAAAAAAAAAAAAGTTATTTTAACTTAATTACTCAGCTTAATTGAGATGTGGACACCAGGCTTCACCTCTTTGTCTTCACTGCTTCTGTCATCCACAGGTCATATGCCAGAAGATATCCTTACAGATAAATTAATTTGAGATTAAATAATACATTCACATAGCAGAATAATTTGGAAACAGATTTCAGAAGGAACAATGGAATATTAATTGTGTAGATATAACCAGCTTGGTCATACATGATTTTCAGCTGTTCCTCATTTTATGTAATATTCAGACCCCACAGCTGAAATTTTCTTTTGTGTTGTACTGCTCCTCTTGACCCCTAGTTTCTGATATTTGTATAATGTGTCTGTGATAATTCCCTAAAATGATAGTTTTATTTGCTGCATTTCATCTGCAGGAATTCCAAAACTTACTTGTCTCAGAATAACTAAATATCTTAGTGCTAGGTCATATGATTTTTCATAATAAAATAGAAAGTATTAGTTGCAACAGAAATGATGAGTATTGGCTATTACTGTCCTACATGAAATGGATTCAGAAAACATTACCACAGCACTGATTTTTTTTTTTTTTTTTTTTTTTTTTTTTTTTTTTTTTTTTTTTTTTTTTTTTTTTTTTTTTTATTTTATTTTATATCAATCAACATTTTTGAGATGGGACTCAGCATGATGTTAGTGACAGGATTTACCAAGGGATTTTTACTAAGGAGCAGCTGGGACATAGGTACTCTCTTTTGGGGTAGAAGAACATCAAGATATGCCAATAATTTATGATTCCAAGTGCAAGACAGTCAGACTTTTCCTACCTAAAGGAGAGGGGAAAGGACAAGTCTATTGGAATGGTCAGGCATTGGAACAATTCCCTGCCCAGGGAAGTGATAAAATTACAATCCTTGGAAGTGTTCAAAGTGCATGTGGCACCTGGGGATATGTGTTACTGGTGAGCAGTTGGATTTGATAATCCTTCAACATTAATAATTCTCATTCTAAAGGGAAGGCAGATGTATATAAAAATAAAAATGACTTGCTCAATGTCTCCAGTTTCCAAATAACATTCCACAAGCAATACTCAACCTCAAGAAATTACTGTGACTTCCATTTGCTTCATATGTTCATGTATGCATATGGTGTATCAGACTTACTACTGTATTCACTCTAATATCTGATTTTAAAAAAGAGTTAATTAAAATAAGCCAGATTTTCTGTTGTATTAAATGACAAAATTACACACAATTAATAAAAAATATATCAGAGATGGAAA